TGGCCTGCAGTTCATAGATATGCTCTTATACACTGTTTCACTGTTCCAATGCTGCATTGTTCAGGACAAAAGGAATTGCTTTCAAAAACAGCAGCAGTGGGAAAATGTGGACACTGTCATTTTCAAAATGTATTAGTGCTGCAGAACAAATTGACCATCAGACAGTACTATCTGTTCTTAAAAGAGGCACACAGCCTTGTATTTGCAGTGCAGGGCTGTCTCATTCTTACTGAGCAAAAATGACTATATTGTATTAGACCAGGAACTGATCCATCTAACCATGCTGTGATGGTAATGTTTGAGTTAGAAGCTACAGAAGCTTTTCCCCTTAGCATGCACATTACTGCACCGTAGTTTCAGCACTAAGCCTGATTCTGGAGTAGGGGTGTGTGCTTGGTATATATTAAGCCAAATAAATACCCAAAAAATAACTTATCAGTATTTTTCAGGCATTTCTCCAGCCAAATCAGATTTTCTAATCTGATTCAGCTACCGATCTAGCTGAGCCTGAATAAAAGCCAATAGTATTCAGCTTTTATTCGGGCTCAGCTTCACTTGCTGAAGCAGCGCAAGTTCACCCACCTTCTTGGTGAACTCATGTGGTTTGGCTTTGCTAAAGCGATTTAAAGGGAAAGTTCCTTTTAAATGGCTTTTGCAAAGCTAAGCCACTGTCTTGACTCTAGAGAAGGGGGGGACTGTTTAAATGCCTCCGATATTTTTTGGGTATACCCAAACCCAAGAAATACCAAAAAAAGTGTACACACCCCTACTCTGGAGCATGTTTTGCCAGCGATTCTGTTTCTCAGCTGTGGTGCTGAGATGGCTGGCCTAAAGACATATCAGTGTCAGAGTTAGGAGAGGATGTTTTCCCTTGCCCTATCCAAACACCAGCCCTAGCGCTAGCACACCAGCTATCCTTCGCATAGCTGTGCCAGCATTTCCTATTAGCAGAGAAGAGGCAAAGGAACAGCAGGAGGGCATTTAGGAAGTCCTCGGGCTCATACATACGCTCCCTCCCCTTTTCTTTGCATGCCACACTGAGACCAAAGACTTCCAGGTTTAGAACAAACTGTAATTTGTTGTGACGTCCAAATCATACTTGTCAATGAACTGCATTTTCTTTTCTACCTTGAAGGTTTCTAGGCTTTCTGTTGTTTAATCCTGATTTAAGAACCTGGTTGTAGGTAGTTAAGAAACAAACAGCAGGTTCTTAGACGTCTTCAAATGCAGTGAAGTATGCAAGTGAAGGAAGGGAGTATATGAGTGTAAGGAATTTTATTCCCAGATCAAGCCAATTATGGTTTGTTCAGTCATCTATATGCAAACCTATGGCCCTGAACATAATCTACTGACACATCTGCTTTGTTCTCAAAGCAACTAGGTGACAAACCACTCAGCACAAAAAGGATATGGAATCAAAGTTAGACTACCATTGTCAGTACACTTACTCAGAATAAGTAGGGCTCACTTATTAGTAAACATGCATAGGATTGGATTACAAGCAATTTTAATTTTCCTATATTTGGCTTTAAACTAGCAATTCAAACAAAACAGATAGGGAAGCAATAAACCTATAATAATTATTGCATTTTGTGACCCTAAAAACATCTTGGGTGTGATTCTCTAATGCTTCATGGGAAAACAATGTCATTTATCAAAGTCTCTAACAACATATATACAAATTTCCTCCTGAAGTCACTGGAAATTTTGACTTCATTGGAAACAGGATTTCCACACAAGTTGTTTCTTCTTTTTAATCACTGTAGCACTGATGACAGACCTGAAACGAATTGTACTTTCACACAGTAAATTTGGCAGCAGATCAACCAAAATGTGGACTGATTCTATGACATTTGCAGTTAACAGTGACATGACTGGCAAGTTATTAGGTAATGGACAGGCCTAAGCAACTTCCCTGCAAAAACAGGGAGACTCAAGCAAACACTAAAGCTGATTCTGATTGGCAGCCCTTACCAGTGACTTCAGATTACTCTAAAATGGTAAAACGTAGCTAATTTCCAAAGAAGAATGCATATTTTATAGATATTGCATAAGTATGTTGGTCACTCTGTTTCAAAACCAATTACATTTTGTTTTCATCTTTCTTGGCAGTTGCTATCGAAATATCTTTGTATGGCTTACTGTCAATGCATATATGTAGTTTAATTAAGAATTCCCATTGGTCCTAACATTCTCTCTGATTGATGATGTGTGACTCATGTGATCTTGCTTAAAACATGCAGAATCATTCTGAACAATAGGGGGGGGGGATCAGTTTGTTCTCCCTAGTGCTAACTTGTCTTCCACACCATACACATGTCATATCTAATCTAGGTGTTGAGGCAAACCACATATGACAGTGGCAGACACATCCTATAAATGTCAGTAGGGGTGTAGCAATTTTGGATTTGGGTGTAATGGAGCTGGAAAATATTGCTATTTCCTGACATTCCTGAATTCCAATAGCATTATGGTATTTGGATTCTGGATTTTTCAGGAATTCTGAGTATTTTCGGCTCCATTATAGCCTATTGGGACCATTATGGTCAATGGTCCCAATAGGCTATAATGGGGAATATATCTGGGGGTGTCTGGGGGCAATGTTTGAGGTGGAGGCTTTTAAAGGGACTGTGATCCCTTTGAACATTTTTAAACTGCGATAATCCCGAATATTTTCAGAATTTTTCAGGATCAGCTATATCAGATAGCTGAAAAAAATCTGGGAATGTATATTCTGTCCAGTTCTATGGGCCCTCAAAGAAGGTGACCCCATCCTCTATTGTTTCCATTGGAGGGGGGAAAGGTGTCCCTCATAGTCCCTTTAAAATGCCTTCTGCAAGCTGCACGTTCACTCCAGAGGTATTCCAAGTGCTCATGGTCCCTTTAAATGCCTTCTCCAAGCTACTACTTCACCCCAAAGGCTTTTAAAGGGACTGTGATCCCTTTGAACATTTTTAAACTGCGACTATCTGGCATTCCCAGATAATCCCGAATATTTTCAGAATTTTTCAGGATCAGCTATATCAGATAGCTGAAAAAAATCTGGGAATGTATATTCAGCTGAATAAACAGCTCCGCTATTTTTTTGGCTTGTATATACTGGAATGCACACCACTAAACATCAGCAATTTAAAGTCCGTTCAGAATGGGGGGGGGGGCTTTTCACATGTGAAATGGCTTCTCTTGCCCCCACTGGTTTTCTCTTGGGAAAAGAGTGGAATTGGTTAGCACTGTCTCCCCCTTACTGTGTTTTAAATATCTCCCTCATGCTTGCCATTTTTTAGATAAAGAAACAGAAAACAAGAGAGTAGTGGTGTAATGGACTGTCAAACTAGGGCTGGATCCTGCAGTTAAGTCACTGCTAAGATTTCCATCAGCAGAGGGGGATTGTCTTGCCTTCCAGTGCACTTCAAAACATTCCCTGAAATGCTGCTCCTGGGCAACAGTGGACCCCCCCCAGAAACAGCATTGGGGGGCAGTCGGAGCTCTGGAATGGGAGAAAAGTCAATCAAATCTCTCCTCCATCAGCGAAAATTTCCCATGGGATCCCTGGACCTGACTCACTTCCCCCTCAACAGCTGTGCAGAATATTGTTTTTAAAGCCTGCAAAAGGCACAATTCACCTCAGGACTATAGTATGAGGGAGGGGCTCCCGTCTTCACCTCCATGCTCTTTTCCAAAGCCAAAAGGGATTCATGGGTGGTATCTGCCACACTCTGGAGATGTGTGGGCATGGAATAATCCACATGCAGCTCCATAACAGGGCAAAATGTATTGTGTAGTTTGGCCCTCAGGGAGTATAAAATGGAGGAAGGGAGTACCATGTAGAAGAGAAGAGAAGATATTGGATTTATATCCCACCCTTCACTACCCGAAGGTGTCTCAGAGCGGCTTACAAACTCCTCTCCCTTCCCCTCCCCACAACAGATGCCCTGTGAGGTAGGTGGGGCTGAGAGAGCTCTGAGAGAAACTGCTCTTTTTCAAGAACAGCGCTGACAGAACTACGGCTTGCCCAAGGTCATCCAGCCAGGTGCAAGTGGAGGAGTGGGGGAATCAAACCCAGTTCTCCCAGATTAGAGTTCACACACTTAACCACTACACTGGCTCTCTGTATACCACCCTGAGTAGATCATGCCATTGTAATGTGCAGTTTGTGCCCCAGTGCTGGGGGAGAATATACGGAAATGCGAAGCACTTTTAAGATGCATGCCAAATAATCTACTTAAGTGGCTCATAAAGAAGAGCCACGGGATTGCTAATAAATCAGATATATGCTGGCTGCTGCATAACAAGGAGACTAAAAATTATGGAATACAACAAATATATCTTTCAGCTGAATTCAAGTTGATTCGGAACACTGTCAACAGGAACAACGTATTGTCTTTTCTCCCAGTGGTGTGTGCAACATAACCCAATTATATTGAAAAATATCGAAACTGAAGTATCTCACATCTGATAGTAGTGGTGGCACATATGGGGCAAAGTCAGTCTTGCAGTACCTTCCACTGAAACTTGCCCCCTGATTTCCCTTTGTCCTATGCCTTGAGACAGTAATAGAGTCATACCCACTGTTTTTTGACACGGGGTAGACAATGATTTTGCAGTCAAGTGCCAGGAATTCAAATAATCCTCTGCTTTATGGAAGACCTTTTGGCAGCACATCCTAGAGCAGAGTGATGGGACCTAATTTTGCTGGAATAACTTTTTCTATAATATGCTCATAAGTACACACAGCATGATCTTAAACATGTATACTCGTAAGTGAATTTCTATCTGTTCATGGGACATACTCCCAAGTAAGTGTGCATAGGATTGTAGCCTATGCTATGTTGTATGTGTGATTACTTGCATGCAGTATCATAGCTGATGTTAGGTGGGCTAGCAGTTTTTAGGACTTGGACTGCTATCCAGATATAGCAAAACTGCCTTAGTACAAAGGCATTTTGAGTCAAAGTCACAGTCAAATATTTCAAATACAAAAGAAGGGAAAGATATCAAACCTGTTAAACCACCAGCCAGCATTGTCTTCTTCAGCACAATTCTTTTCATACTTGTCATTATCTCTGTCTTTGGTACTGAATTTCATTCCTTGGTGGTTTGCCCACCATTTCACTTCAGGGTGAAAACCCCCAGTGAAGGAGTCACCAGCTGTTCCAGAGTATTGTCCACAAGTCATCATGTAGGAACTCTAGAGGCAAATTGGAGGGGGGTAGAGAATCACACATCTGTATCATCTCAACATTCAAGAGGTGTATTTGAAAAGGAAAACAATACTCACTACCTATCCAGAAACACTGACAAATACAAGCACCTCATACAATTCCATTCAATCGGCTATGGTCATAAGAACAACACAGAGATAGTATACAGGAGAAGAAGGAATGATAGCAGCATTTTTTTTTTACATAGTGGCGTCCAATAAGAGAATCTAATGAATATCCTTCTTTACCTTATGATGGTCAACTGCAGATGACAAATTATTGGCAACACTGAATGGGCCTCAAAAATCTAGCCTGCTCAACTTGCATTATCATGTTTGAATTTTTTTTTAAATTTAAAATATTTATATCCCACCCTTCCAACACAGGATTAGGTATGTGTGCTCAAATATAACCAAGGTGAATATATATCTGAAAAATACCTTTTTTATTATTCATTCAGGTCTCCAAATGGGATTTGAGATTTTCTGGGATACTGGTAAATGGGTCCTGAAAAATCCCAGAAATATTCAGGATTAATGTGAGTATTGGGAGCCACCATTTGAAGGCTCTGAAAAATCCCAGAAATTTCTTTTTCAGAGTGTCTGTGTCTTCCCAGGCATGGCATTGGCTTGCCGGGTTGATTTCTCTTAGATATTGCCCTTTTAAATTGTTTTTATTGATGTCAGGTTTGCTTTTTGCAGTGGATTCTCAGATTGTATATTGGCAGTGATTCATGGGTTGTATGTTGTGGTGATTCTTGAGTTTTACATTTTTAAAAACATGTTTTCCTATAGAAAACAATGAAGGATGGTTGGGAGCACCTCATTCAGGTGCTTGTAGAACTGGATCGCTTGGTCCAATCATTTGAAATTTGGGGTTTATTTAAAGGACGAGCACAATTTTGGTGCCAGTAGCTTTAAAAACAGCCCCTCTGGTCCTCCTGAAATGTTCCCCATAGGGAATAATGGAGCAGAAAAATATCAGAATCCCTCCCCTGCCAACCCCCCCCACAGCCCTCCCCTGCCAAACCCCCCCCCCCCAATCCAAATACCAAATCAATATTAGGAATCCAGGAATACTGATATCGATATCCAGGGCCGGGGGGGGAGGGCAATTTTTTTTGAGCTGCACATCCCTCCATTAGATCCCCAGAATGGCTTAGAACAAGCCATAAAGACAATGGCTTGTATCGCTTCTCGGCCTTTTGGCTAAGATCAAGTGACAATGGCTTGTATCCAACCCTGTAGTTAAGAAAATATCTCCCATTAAGTTATCGTAAATGGGGGTTGTGATTTCTGCCAATTTCCCTCACTGCTGCAGCCCACAAACCTTCCTTCTTTTGGCCTGGTTGCTCCCAGTAGCTGCTCTTGCTCCTTCCTCCACCCTACTCTAGCCATAAACAGAGAGGGACTCTGCTGCCTTTATAAAGCTCTGCTCCACCCTGATGGCTGGAGACAAGGTAGTGCTTTCCGAAGAGTGCAGAGTTCGTCTTCAGTTATGGCTGGGGAGAAAGGAAGGTGACAAGAAGGGTTATGAGCAGGATAAAGGTGGAGGCTTTTTTAAAATGCAGAGCCTCCATCCCTAGCTTGTTCTGGCCCTGGGTAAAACTGGCACTGATGAGGGGTGCTGCCACTGCTGTGGTCTAGGGCTCCAGTGTAGGGGTGGCATGGAGGGAGGGAGAGTCTCTTATCCAGAAGTGCAGGAGCTCATTAGCATAACTTATTTGCATATGCCACACCCCCTGACATCACTGGAAGTGTGTCAGAAGGCAACACCCACCGCTCAGGCTCCACTGGACTGTTTTGGATTGCTAGCTATTGGGGGGGGGGGGTGCAGATCTGTCCTTGCAGAGGAGGGAGAGCTTGTACCTGAATAAAACTTGGTCTTAAAGGTGCCACTGGACTGTTTTGGACCAGGGGGCTGGGGGGGCTCTGCAACTTACCTGGCTGCTCTTGCTCTGACTGAGGGCTTCTGGGAGCAGGGGGTGGGGCTTGTTGCATGTGCCCGCCCCCTGGGCTCTTTACTGCCGGAGCTCTGCTCCTATGCGCTCCTGCAGGAAATGACCCCTGCTCTTATCCTTGCTAACCCTTTTATTGCCTGTCCTGAAGCCAAGTGGTGGTGGCATGGACAGCAGGATACCCTCATCTGTACTGCCAGTATGACTTCCCTGCTCTTTCCAAGGAAGGGGAGGGTTTGTAGTTCACTGGTAGAGCACCTTATTAGCATTCAAAAGATCCCAGGTTCAATCTCTGACATCAGTTAAAAGGATTAAGTAGTACATAATGAGGGAGTTAAGAGGGCAGAGCCCTGGGACTCTGGAGACCTGCTGCCAGTCAGAGTAGACAATACTGACCTTGCTAGACAAATGGTCTGACTCAGTGTCAGGGTTCTTCATGTTCTCATTTTGGGTGACTGAATCTCTTGAGCCAGCCCTAGAAATCTATTAGGCTGGTAGGAAGTGACTGACCCAGGGTGAGCTTCATATGAAAGCTAGGGATCTGAAGCCAAGTCCAACACTATGGCCTCTGAACTACGTATCTTCATAGTCTCTGTGGCAATGATAGAATCATTTTTTCCCCTATGGTACTTTGAAACCTAATTTATATTAGAAAATCTCACATGCCAGTTAATGCAAGTGTTTATTATTACCTGTTCATTCCCAATTCGGAAGTTTTCATATTGTGCAAAGCGCTGTTCTCCCATAAAATCAGACATATCTATTTTTAATGTATAATTTCCTAGAATGACAACAACAGATTGTGAGTAGATTGTCCATATACAGGAAAAGGAGGGCCAAATGAGCTTCTGTTCAATTCACTACAAGCATTAAAGGAGTCCTGTGTGGTGTACTGAGCCTTGCTTATAGGGCCACTATCTAAAGCTTGATTTCCCACTGATTAGAATCATCTTGAGGCATCAAATATGGATTACACACTGACATGTTAATACTGGCTTTATTTAAGAGTATATTAGAAGTTTTCTTTTCTATATTCCCATGACTTGGTAATTGTTTTGGAACATTACAGCAGAGATTCCCTAATAAAGCAATATGTTGTTGGCTCTAATAATATACTTACCAGCTGGGTCATACCAATATGTTTCTCTAACTTAAGGATGTTGGGTCTGCTTAGACGACTTGTATGTAGGTAGACCCGTCCTGTGTGAAGTGCCCCCCATGTCCTTGAAATAAGGCTATTGCATCACCAAACCAAACAAAAATGTGTGCAGGTTCTGTTAGTGGAATATGCCTAATTATATAGCCAAGGCCTATATATTTTTTTAAAAATACAAATTAGGAGGCTATAAACCCAGGAGAACCCTCAAGTTTACAAATCAGAGTTTTCTGGCACAAAACCCCCCATCTGGAGTTTGGGCTGCTGTAGTGTTATGTCTGTTGCCCACCACTAGGTGACGGCAAGATATACCTGAGCTTGGCTCAGCAAGGACAATAGGGACTAGGATCCTGAATCCTCCCACAGGCACCAATGGCAACATAGGCGGGAAGTTTAAACCCACCAATGGGACTTGGGGGGTGGTCTGCGGGATTGTATATAGTTGGCCTATGGCTGGTATTTTCTCTTTTCTGTTGTAAGGTACTAATAAACGCGTCCATCCGCATGCCGTAGTACAAGTCCTCCATGCAGCGAACCCAGTACTTTATATGTAGTTAGTAATCCAATATGGCGCCTGATATTATGACAGCAGCCACCACCTCCAGTAAAAGGTGAAGGGAGGAAGGATGTGGAACTGAGTCACAGTGGAGGAAGGAGCCAGTGGGAAGGAGGGAAAGTGAAGCATGAGCCACAAGGGTGAAAGGGACCATGGAGGGGGTGCAATTTCCCAACCCCCATGAGCACTTCCAGGGTCCTGCTCTTCAGAAAATGTAGCTCCTTCTTGGTGTTTTTGAGGAGTCAAAAACCTGATGAGATTTGTTCTGGTGTAAATCCAGAAAAATATTGGATTTGCATGGCTGTGATTTTTAACATATGATTATAGCTACGGTGTAAAACGTCTACCACATTTGGCTGCAATTTCCATAGCAACTATATTAACACGTACCAGCAATGGGATTAGTAGGCAGTTGAAAGAAAAGTTCACCTATACATGACTGAATTTTTTGCTGGGTTTTCCAAAATTATGCCTCTGCCTGATTAGAGTGAAAATTTGAGACTGAGAATTATTTTTTAAGAGATGAAAGTGTTCTGTAAGATGCTTTGTTGCTCATGGTGTACCTGTGTATTTTGTACCCTTCTGTTTCACTCTGGTCAAACAGGTTTTGCAGATTTCTGAAACATATAAAATACGTAACCCGCCAAACCTGAGTCCCAGAGGTGAAAGTTATTTTTTTCAAACTGTCTTCAGCTGACTGAATAAACAGTAGGATCTTTCCAGACAAATTCATAACTTAAAGTAACACATAAACTCTACGACAATCTATCCAAAAGTTTTCTCTGGTATTATAATGCTTGATTCATTCAGGCATTACAATCCAAATAACAATTGTCCCATTCGTGTGTTGGTCTCTATATCCAGACTTCATTTTAACACGATTTATTTAATATCAAGTACAAATGTAGCACAGCATAACTGGTGTCATCCATCAAGGTGCTATTTTCTCCTCTAGTTAGGAGAGGTTCCCATCATTTTTATGACCAATCTCTAATCACACTGTCTCGGCTTCTGTCTCAGCAGTACTTGTATGAATCTCCTGTACTACATTTGTTCCGTCTGACGCTTTGTCAACAAACGCCTTCTGGACGTGATTCAACGCACGAGCCAGGGTCAAGTAGAATTAAATCATTTTATTCAGTTTCACATGCATTCAGAAGTGTTCTACTTACATTGAAGCTGCACAACTGGTGGAATCTAACTCAGTTCTCTGGCTCATGGTGAAAAAGACAGTGTGCTCCGCTCTCCTTGCGGTTTAAAGCGTAGCTGGCTGGGGCAGCACAACATTCCTGTCTACCTGGCCTTTCTCTAACCTTGCCATTCAAGGAAGAGGTTTTCATCTTTTCTTCTTTTTTCAAAATATGAGATAGCAATATGCACCTCTGCCTAAATGCATATTTAATCACGGTGGTTATCTATTGTACTGACATTTGCTGTATGGGTATGTAGTTCAGAGGTGCGTATGACCTGCTCCAAGAAAACAATTAAAAGGGGATGGGGGTGTCTTTCCACATGTGCTGTCAGATACTGCCATTGACGATTCACCACCACATTTGTCTGGACAGGAATCACAAGATGTCGATGCAGGATATTAACACAGTTGCAACCACGACAGGGAACTACAGTGACAAACTGTCTTTCATAGGGAACCAGGCAAGCAACCCCTCAAGAAAAAAGAGGTCCTCATTCAGGTTGTCTGGACAAAAACCAAACACAACCGCTATTGATCACTATGGGCTAAGTATGACGTGGTCTCATGAGCTGAAATGAGTCTGTGGAGAAATCAGCTTATTGACCTTTGCTTTCTGACTGAGAATGTCCAGATCTTACCCTGAGACGTCAGATAGTGAAGATTTTTATTTCCGAGCCAGTATTCACCCTCTGGAGAAGCAAAATCACCAAAACCTTGTTCATACTCAGCCCAGTCCCTGAAAATAAAATGTAAACCTACTGACTTGTGTCGTTCAAAGGAAATTAGCAGCTTATCTTTAAATGAACCCTTTTAAGTCCCAGAGGATACAGTTCTAAAAACACTTTCCTGGTACTAAGCCCTTGGAACAAGTCTGTTCCCAGAATTCTCTAGTGGAAAGAAGACACTGATATATTTGGGACTTGCTTTTGGTTTTTGAAATCCTAAGCAGAATGACACCTTTCTAAGCCCACTGACTCCAATGGATTTAGAAAGGGTCGCGTTCTGCTTAGGACACCTCTGTTACTCCCTCCCATACAACATGCTTACTGGCACTGGTATCTCTTCCCACCAGACATATGAACCTCATCCTCTGTTTTCACATTCAAATGCCTGGAGATAAAGGCTCAGATCCCCAGATATGTAGACGAGCTGCAAAAAGCATACGAATGCTGATATGGATCAGCAGTGCAGAGCTGAGTAATGGGAGGCTAACTTTTCCACTCGCACCATTTTCCCATGCCCCTTTCCCATTCAGAAATGCTCCCTTCCCCAAGGAGCTTTAAGCTGCAGGAAGGCAAAAAGAGAGGCACTTGTGGGATCTGAACATGGATCTCCATCTGCCAAGTGGGGCTTGGCCCCCTGTGACTCATCTATTTACCCTTACTTTCCCCAACTAGCCTTCCTTCCCCCCTTTGATTTCCCTTCCTTTCCTCACTGTCTTGTTTTACACTAATTGTGACTCATCTATTTACCCTTACTTTCCCTAAACAACCTTCCTTCCCTTTGATTTCCCTTCCTTTCCTCACTGTCTTGTTTTACACTAATTAAATTGTAAGTGTGCAGGCAGGTTTGCTTTCAAAATTTTATGCCGTCTCCTAACAATTATGGTGGTTTACAAACCAGGTCAATCATTTGATGGGGGCCAAAACTGCTGCTTCGCTTTCATAAAGAGCTGGCACATGCAGGCTTGTTAAATTGTAAGTGTGCAGGCAGGTTTGCTCTTAAAATTTTATGCCGTCTCCTAACCATTATGGTGCTTTACAAACCAGGTGGGGGTCAAAACATTTGATGGGGTCAAAACTGCTGCTTCGCTTTCTTAAAGAGCTGGCATATGCAGGCTTGCCTAGCAAGGTTCCCGCTAAGCTGTGGAGTCTTGTGAGCAAAAATTCTACTTTGAGAGCTACTGGCATGAAAGTTGTGAGCAAGCAATTTGGCTACTGCATAAATTAGTTTGCCCTGGAGCCATCCTTCCTGAGCTAAGATAAAAATGTGTGAGTTGAGGCTAAAAAACTGTGAGCTAGTTCACACTAACTCAGCTTAGAGGGAACACTGTTGCCTAGTATAAACTCCTTTAGAATCTCAAGGCCCAAGAGGCCACATTGAGCCCCCATGCCAGTGTGAGTGAATACACACTTGCTCTCCTCTTGGTGTCATTATTCAGACTCCAACCATAGAATAGTATCATAGAGTTGGAAGGGACCTCCAGGGTCATCTGGTCCAACCCCCTGCACAAAGCAGGAAATTCACAACTACCTTCCCTCCCACACACCCCATGACCCCCTGCTCCATTCCCAGAAGATGGCAAAAAACCTCCAGGATCCTGTGCCAAACTGGCCTGGAGAAAAACTCAAAGGAAACTCCTAGTTCCCTCCTCCCAGCCCCGTAGCTAGAGACTTTTTTGGGAGGGGGCCATGGGGGGGCTGGCAGCTAATTTAATCAAAAGTTTCAGAGCAAGTGGGGGGGGGGTAATGCCCAGCAGCTGCAGGACTCACGTGTACACCAACCACTGGGCGGTGAGGATAAGTGGCAGGCTCCCCGAAGCCAACAGGATAGCTAGCAAGTACGGCTACATCAATATAGGTAATTCTTCAGCGGCGGTGGCAGGCCACGCACTCTCTTGGCCACTCCAAACACTTGTCTTTTCTTTTGGCGACCCCCTTTCTGAGATGTCCCCTTTCCTCAACACCTTCATTTCGGTCCCTTCATTTCTGCTACCTTTTCCTTCCTCTTGGCTTTCCTCCATTTAAAAAAACTTCTTTCCCTTTCTGCCTTTGACTTGGTCCCGTTTCTGCAGGAACCCTGACCTGAGCAGTCTTACCCAGGTCTACTCAAGCTGCCTGACACCCAGGAAAGTGCTTTTTAAATTAGTCCCCCCCCCCCGTATTTTCTGGTTCAGCCCTTCCAATTTCCCTTTCCTTTCCCAGAAAACCTTGTTGTATTTGTTTTGTGAGGGACTTTGAGGTTTCGAGTCAGTTTCAGCACACTGGTCAATTTCATGCCGTGGCACCCCCGGCTCTGCAGAAGGCTGCTTCTCTCCCCCCTCCCGCTTTTGACATCCTGCATAAATTACCCACCCTCCCCCCGGTTAAAAAAAGGTGTGGCTGTCTTCCACTCTGGGTCTTTGCAGTGCGAAGAAGATTTAAGTGGTGCAAAGTGGCATGCAGGTGACGAGTTGAGGCACTTCAGGGACAGCCCGGGAGGGAGGAGGCCCAGAAGAAATGCGAGGAGGCCGGGCCCCACGGCCCCCACGTTAGCTACGGGCCTGCCTCCTCCTCAAAAACAGAATGCTTTGAGATGTGTAACATCTGAAAGTTAATGCAAAGGACAATGTGGAAAAAAATAAATAAATCATACCTCTCAACCAGTGCAGGTTTGTCATTTCCTTTTGGAGTCAATTTGACTTATGGAAACTGCCAGAGTTCATACTGTGCCCATGTGTTTCTGGGTGGTGGTGGGGGAGTAACAGCCTATACAGTATATATGAATCAGAACCACAGCTGAACTCAGCATTCCCACTAAAGCAAGAAACTGTTGCACTTTTTACCATCTGGAATAATGACTGCAATATATACAGCTCACTGTTCCCATCACCCATTTACCATTACCATGGCAGCTAATTTTTAAGTTCAGCACTTACCTATCAAAATTTTGACTCCCATCGGATCGCCTCTGAAAAACAGTCCATCCTCCTCCTCCTGACATATCACAGTAGGCAAGGAATCCACTGGGGCTCCGGAGAGGTTTCATCTTGTAAAATCCACTCTGTATGTATCCAGCATTATAGATCTCAGCACAATCTGCAGGATCCCAACATATCATTCATTCCAAATAATTCATTTAAGGGCTGTGTAAGTTCCACAAATCTAAATGACGTGTCCCATTCAAGCCAAATGCAACCCACTCAACATATATTGAGCCAGTTTGGTCTAGTGGTTAAGTGTGTGGACTCTAATCTGGGAGAACCGGGTTTGATTCCCCACTCCTCCACTTGCACCTGCTGCATGACCTTGGGCAAGCCATAGTTCTAGCACAGCTGTTCTGGAAAAAGAGCAGTTTCTGTCAGAGCTCTCTCAGCCCCACCTACCTCACAGGGTGTCTGTTGTGGGGAGGGGAAGGGAAAGGAGTTTGTAAGCCGCTCTGAGACTCCCTTGGGTAGTGAAGGGTGGGGTATAAATCCAGTCTCCTCCTCTTCTTCTTCTTCCTTCCAAGTGCCTGGCCATTCCTTAGTTTTGGCAATTCCAGGCAAGCACTAACCAACTGAAGGTCTATTGAGCCCCTAAGTGGGATTTCATATATGGATGGTGTACTGGTTTAGATTGATGGATCTCAAATTAAGAGATATTAATCACTACAGCTGGCTGGTGTTTTTAGCAACACTAGTAGCTCAGGGGTACACCACTATAAAAACATGAAGCTGTCTTATACTGATTCAAGCCACCAGTCCATTTAGCTCAGTATTGTCTGTTCTGACTAGCAGCAGTTCCTTGGCAGAGAAGTCTTTCCCAGTACCTGTTACCTGAGATGCTTCAAGTGGACATGCCAGTAATTGAAACTGGGCCCTTCTACATGAGAGGCATGTACTGTACCACGGGCCTGTGCCTCTGATATGCAGTGTCTCATGTTGACACTGCTCTGCTCTCTATGTTGAGGGCAACTATGCAATCCAATAAAGGACTGTGCTAAGCTTTGTAAACTTTCCCACTGAAGGCAAATTATATGTTACACAAAAAGTGTAGCTGCACCTGAAACTGGAAGCTCTGTGTCTCAATCCCCTTCCACAACATCTACTAGAACCCAGAGCCTATATCCATGCATTTCTGTACCAGCAGAAGCTAATATAATTAAAATTGGGGCAAAGAAACTGAGAACATCATATATGAGTCCACTACAGAGAAAGTGCTAGACATGCACCTTCCGATTAAGTGGCAGCTACATGTTTAACATAATGTCAAGTTTTGCAATGTGATATGGAAGCCAGGAAGCAGGGATACCTGGTTCCCATGAGGTAGTTAGGAATTCAGTTCCTCAGAAAACAGTATAGCCTAAAAATACTCTCAGAGATTTGCAGTCTTGCCACTTTTATTATCCAGAAAAAGCAAATCCTTCACTAATAGAAAATGGCATTTGATTCTCTGAGTCGGTTTTGACTTTTTGGTCACCCAGAGATATGGCACTAATGAAGCTAAATTAACATCCACTGTTTTGAATAGTCTTGAGATTTGCAGTCTTGCCACTTTTATTATCTAGTGTCTACCCTATGTCTCTGCTAACCACAGAAAAAGCAGATCCTTCACCAATAGAAAATGGCATTTGATTCTCTGAGTCTGTTTTGACTTTTTGGTCACCCAGAGATATGGCACTAATGAAGCTAAATTAACATCCACTGTTTTGAATAGTCTTCTGCCACAATAAGTCCCCGGCTGAACTGTCTCTGGAAAAACTCAAAATGCAAAGTAACTTTTTTTCTGGTTAAATAAATAAATTATAAACTGTTGGAAACTGTATTTAACTTATTCCTAGTTATATATTTTACCCGCAAGTGCTTTTCCACTGTTATGGCTGACTCAGCCTTTACTAGCATTTACGCTTACTACAAACATACTTATACAAAACCCTTTTCCCCTTTATTTGTAATTTCTTATGCCAGACCCCTTATTCACATTTTTAAAACTCTAATTCTAAAAATTAATCCATCTCCTTTCCCTGTCCAGCACTGCTGGATCAGCATCTTAAAAATATATGATCTATTTCAGTGCAGGCATGGTAGACCTACCGCATATGACAGTATTAAAAGCTAGTAGCTATTACTGGTAGGACTCTGTGTTCAGACAATATGTCTGTAAATAATAGATCCTGAGGACATGGAACAGAGTAGGGCTGGTGCCTGAATCCCAAAGTACAATCTTCCCGGAGGAATCTGGTAGGCACCACTGAATATATAGGGCTGGATCTTATGACTCCCTTCCACTAAGTTTGATCCTATTAGTCCCTTCTGCCAAGTCTTCCTTTAACAGAGAAAGATTTCATTCAACACTGAAAAACCTTTCTCCATCGGAGGAAGTTTTACTAGTTGACAGTCAAAAGATCCAACTTAGCTGACATTTCACAAGTATATTGTAGGGTTTGCCAAGTGACTTACATTTAAAAGCGGGAGAGAGTTGGTCCCTGGCTGGGACATTTGAGTGCACAAAAAGTGTGCACACGCCACGATGACATCACCCGGAAGTGACATCATCACGTTGGGCATGTCTCCGGATGACACTCTAGCAATCAGCCTGGAAACTTTATGGTACCATAAAGTTTTCAGGCTGATTGCTAGAGCATCAGCCGGCGACGTGCCCCACGTGATGATATCATTGCACTGGGCTCGTCGACCCAAACCGGGCATATTGGGGGCGAGGTTCCCCCGCTGGCCTTTTCCGGACTGGGTGGATTGGGGACCCTTTGAGTGGGGAAACTTCCCGAGGGACCTGGCAGCCCTACTATATTGTTATATTTGCATATGACAAGTTTCTGATCCTTTGGCTGGGGGAACACAATATAAAAGTCTATGGACCTGCATTCTGCTCCTATTTGGTATGGGTTGCCAGCTCCCCAGTGGTAGTGGGGGAAATCCCACACCCAACTGACCATTTTGGGCCTACTTCCAGTTTCAGGCCTACTTCCACTTGGGAGTGATACTTTGTTTTTTGTGTAAAACTCTATGGTTTGGAGCCTAATTTACCATAGAGTTTACCCCAAAACCATAGAATTTACCCAAAAACCAGAGTGTCACCCCAAATCGAAAGTAGGCCTGAACCCAGAAGTAAGCCCAAATATGCCCAACATTACTTCTGGTCTCCCAGAAGGATGTTAGGAGACCCCTGCTGGCCCGGTAAGTTGACCTGGCAAAATGTCCTCAAGTCCTCTGAGCAGTTGCTCCTTTTAGTGCCTTTGTATAGATGGGTCTGGTCCTCCTCCATAACACTGTCTGCTTTGTTTGTGGTAAAATGGACTCTTTTGGACAGCCTTCCAGAACAGGTACATGAGGCAGTCTCCCTCTGCAGATTCTGGAAGTTATGCAAGGCCGTTTCTTTTCAGAGGGCCTTCTGAAATTAAGGTTATTTTGAAGGGTTTGGATTTTGCAGTTTTGTCATTCTGAAAACTGAAATTAAATTGTTCCAGAGCTGCTTGTGGTTTTGATGTTCTTGTGATTTTTTAAAATAGTTTTTTCTCATGTGACACATATTCTTAAATAAATAATCAAAATACTTAATTGTAATATTTAATCTTCCTTCCCAGTAACTGAACAGAGGGTTTTCAAGGCTTGGACTGTATTGCATGATTTTTAAACCTGAAATGCTGATTATAAGATAGCATGTAGCATGACAGTGGGCAAATTCTCATAGGAGAGCACCAATCTACAACACAAATTCTAAACCTGTTTATTCAGAAGTAAGTTGTTGGGCATGTTCTATTGTATTACCTATTAATTGTGATCTGAGACATGATTTTATTATTCCTATTCTTCAAAAAATCCCAGGTCAATCCTCTTGGAACATGAGCCTTGGACCATGGATAAGGTGGCCAGATTTTGTGCAGATGCTACAACTTCTTGTATTCTGTATTAATGTAATGTATTATATTTTCTCATTTTAATGTAATTTATGTGACATTTTATGTATCATAGAGGGCATAGCATGAACTTCTGACCTGGTTTTTGACTGCAATAAATCATCCATCCATCCATCCATCCATCCATCCATCCATCCATCCATCCATCCATCCATTAGTATGTCCTATTGAGTTCAATGGAATTAGTCCCTACTAAGTGTGAGTAGCTCTTCCACCAGGCTTTTGGGTGAGACAGCAGATGGCAAATATCATCTGGCCCCTCCTGTTACCATCCTGCTACTACTCTGTAACCATCTGTACCATCAATCATGGTCGTCAGTTTTCGAGGACACAGAATGATAACCACCTTTGGCCTACCCAAGGTAGAGTACTTACAATCTGGAATCCCTTGTGGAATTTAGCCCTTTCTGCTTCTAATTGTCTAACACCAGGGCACCATAGTTGTAATAGTTGTGATGTAGTCTGAGCGCCATCATTTTAAGGGTGAAGTTTATAGTTTCAATCATGATTTTATTGTTTTATATTGATGTTGTAACCTGCCCTGAGCCCGCTTTATAGGAAGGGCAGGATAGAAATAGAACTAACTAAATAAATAATACAGAGACCACTGATGAGCCAAGAGCAGTATATTTGGACTGGAAAACCCATTTTACTAACTATAAACCAAACCAATTAATGCAACAAAGTCTTATTTGTACAGACTGCAAAGGCTATGCAGAGGTACCATTTCAGTAGAAGTGGGCAGGCTGAAAGGCCTATTCTTGGATACATTCAGGATCAAACACACAACTTTTTTTTTGTGCAAATTTATTTGTTGTTGTGTGATAATATTTAGAAATAATAGGTGGTTTTCTAACCCTCCTGTGTGGTTATCTTGTTGGTATAAGAAAAGGTAAAGGTAAGATTCTGCTCTAACCTTTATACTCTTTCTCTTCTCCCAGACTGATGACATTGTCTTCATCGCCTTGTACTCTTTGTTCTATGTCCTTCATCATTAGAAGCTCCACAATTTTTGCCTGTTGCTCCTTCACGCTGTGCTCCAGAAGTCTCACTTGGGCCTGGAGCCGCAACTGCTCTTGGAAACAACTTTCTAGGGTCTGTCAAAACATTTATTAGGGTTAAAAAAAAATACAGCTACCATGAGCATTAGTGAACTGCTAAATCTTGTGCAAATCCCTCACCCATTACTAGAAAACATTTCACATGCAGTTCCATGAACCCTTTGTAAGCAAGGAATAAATTCCATTATTAGCAGTCTATTAATAGGTGTTCATGGGTGCTCATCAGTTATCTTTTTAAACATAGCAGCCAATTTTAGCTCCATTCACAGTGCCACTTGAGGCCTGCCCCTCCCTTCCCCCCTTGGTACCTGGAACGGCTAATCCTACTTGCTTTAGTACTCACACAAACATCTTTAAAAACAGAATGGCAAGCCAGGCATGCCCTATAAGTTTTCCCAGACTCCCACAGGAGTTCAGGCAAGCTTTATAGTATGTGCACGGCTTGCCTGGGGGAATGAGGAGGGCAAGGTGGATTAGCTGCTCTAGGGCCCAGATGGGAAGAAAAGGTGATGCAGTGGAGGGCAGGTAGGACATTGGTACTCCTCCCAAATCTGTCACCCTTGGCAACCATGTCAGAACACTTCTCTGGAGAGCTGGCCCTGGTAGCACATAACTTGGGATGCTGTATAGAACAGGGTTTGTGTGTGTGTGTTCTTGCTCCAAAAGGAAACTTTCTTCTCAGTTGAGCAAGAAATATGAAGCTCAGGCGTAGCAAACTCCATATCCAAGACACTCCAGTAGTACCTCAAGGAAAGCAATTCTGCACTTCTGGCATGGTGTAAAAGATATATGCATCTTAACTCTACCAGTATTAAGTACTGGTGGGTCTAAAACCGTTAGGAAAGCATTCATTTTAAGCAGGGGTCTTTTTGTAGAAAAAAAGCTGCAGGAGCTCATTAGCATATGGGATGCTAATGAGCTACTAGGCTATTAGCATAATAGCTCATTAGCATATGGAACGCCCCCTGACATCACTGGAAGTGATGTCAGAAGGGGAAGCAAAAGAGGGGACGGCATCTTCAAAAGCCTCCCCTTCCCTTCCCGGGGGGGGGGAGCAAAGAGAGAAGGGGTTTAAAGTTCAAACCCCTTCTCACTAGAGTTGGGCCACAGAAGGAGGAAAGAAGGAAGGAAAGAGAGAGAAGGAATGAAGGAAAGAGT